ATAGGCCTCCATTTACCGCTAGTTATCGGCGACTCCTTGCCTCCTGGTCCAAAGTCCACTGTTTTACCATTCGACCTTTCACCCTTTGCGTACGGCACCAATACCAGGGTCCAAAGTCCGATGCCGTCCCGTTACTTTCTTCTGCGCACAGCCCTTCACCGCTCTCTTCTATTGCTGTCCCTCTCGGACTCTCCCTGCCCTTGTCTGGTGCTGGGTGCACCACTCTTTCTCGCCGCACTACCGTTAATACGGACGAATTCGTCGAGTAACTGGTAACTGGTAGGCCCCTGCTTGCATGCGCTTGCTCTGCTTCCTTTCTTACTTGTGGGGAGTTATTCAACTCCTCACAAGGTTGCGTAAGTGGCAAAGGCCTTAAAACACAAACGCCTTCTGGATTTGACACGAAGCACATATCCAGTAGACGTCTAAAATAATCCTGAACATGGTTAACTGGAGATAGTGCAATGTCAAGTAAGCCGTCAATAAAGTCATGCTGCGCTAAAGGAAGTTAAATAATTGATTTTTCGTCCGAGGACTAGGTCGCATTAGGTATATTAAACTCACCTAACCCTATTAATTGATCTCTGTGTGGCAGTTTATTACAAATGAACTGTATTACGGAAAGGTTGTTCGCATACCTGGGAACGATAATTTTAAGCTCAAAAATTCTATGTCTGGTTTTGAGATAGCAGGCGCTGGAGGGGGGTAAGGGGTATTCTAGTCTACAATCCGGAATTTTAGACATTTTCTCAAGAAAGATACAAAAAAAATCAACATATTAAGAAAACAAAAAAACCCAATATTTGCCGAGATACAGGTCGGTGGAATGGGGTCATCAAAAAAACAATGCGTTTTGGTTGACAGAATTTAAGCCCTTGTGGAGCTTAGAATTAAAAAAAATTAAGAAATTCTTTCTTAGTAAAGTAATAAAGTTGACCACTTTCAAAAAAAAACATATAAACATATGAACGAACATATGAACGTTTTAGTTTTTTTATTGGATAAACCAAAGGTTTTCTTTCATTGCACGCATATCATTTTGGCTTGGAAGGAATTAACGTGTTTTATGAAAGTGTTTAAAACAATGCCCGAAAATGGTATGCCCAAGTAAGCGTGGACATTAAACAGCCTTGATTATCCGTGTTTGGCCGTTACTCTCCGCTTTCTAAGTAGCACGCCACCATTCAAAAATGAGCAACAGGTACTGTGGTCGTCAATATGCCTCGTCCAAGCTAGAGACCGGTAGGTGTAGAGCCTGTTTAGCGGAAAGGTCGCATTCTCTGACTTTGCAGAGTAAACAGCATTATTCAAATGAAAAGCCTATGCCTTTTTCGGGGAGCTCTTGCCGTCAGAAATGCAGTGTCAGGTAATGACTACCGAGAACACGGCTAGTGGGGCTCCAGGGAGTACAATTTTCAACCTTTAACATAAGCCAGGACGCTTCAGCCGACTTCTTCTTCTTTTTCTTAAGTGAAGAAGAATTAAATCAAATGAATTTTGGTTATAAAAAATAAGCCCTCATAAATTAGTGCACATAGACAGATTTAAAATTTTGATATAACCAACATCTTTCTTACTCGGAAAGAATATGTGCTGCGGCATCTTCAAAATCAAAGGGAGTATAAAGTTGCAAAATCACTACCACCATCGCCGATAAATCAGTGGTTACAAACTTAACTAACTCAAAACTTAAAGATCAAATCCATACCATGACAAAAAAAAAGGATATTGGGACAATCTTGGCGGTCGTCCAGCAAACTGGAAACGTGGTATGTAGTAAAGTAGTGTTAAATGTACGAGTAATGTACGATAAGTCCTAAGAATATAATCTAATACATAAATTTAAATGAAGTGTCACAAATGATTTTACCTTCACAAGCTCCAATTTTCTTGCTTTGAACTGTAAGAAACTATTGTGTTAGTGTGCGGACTCTTCCCAAATGCATAGATATCAAAGTAAAGCGTCCGAGTTTTTTCGATCTCTAATATCACTGATTTTAATGTGTGAGTTGTATGTAAAAGAGTGAATTCAAAATAAATTAAAAAAAATTAAGAAAATCTTTCTTAGTAAAGTTATAAAGTTGACCACTTTCAAAAAAAGGATTTTTTTAACCAATTTTGTTTACTTTTTCAAAAATTTTAAAAATACTTATAATCAAAATTGGCTTAAGTCCGAGGCAGACGCGTTAGAGCGTAGTATAAATAAGATATATACCACATTTCAAAGAAGTGGGTTCTGTAGAACTTGAAATATCTTTTCAACGCCCTCAAAAAATGTTTTGAGAAAAACGCGTTTAAAGACTAGGAAACGATTCTTATGGGCCGGGCTCCCCGTCGGAGAGTTTACTGTGTCTCCGAAAATAATTTGGATATTGAAAAATCATTTCACCTATCCTTTCTACCCTTTCAAAGTATGAAGAAAAAATTTAATTTTTCAATACGGGGGCACAGGGCTGAAAAATGCACACAATGAATACCAATCATAAATTCCTTGCATAAAAAAATTTAAACCATTTGACTCTTTGATGATCAACTTTGACTTTGTAACGGATATAAGCCGTAATATCTAGTGATGAAAAGTCAGGGACAAGCCGTGAAATAAATATGTATTTTATTTGTCGGATCCAAACACGTAACCGTTTTTGGTACCACACATGAGACAGTTTTTGGTATCACGAATCACGGGGAGTGGATTCTACGGCATAAGCCAAAGACTGCCCACCGACGGCAACTTTTTTGCGCTTAGTGGAACCGGAATCCGATAGCATAGGACTAGAGAGCTGCGATTCGAAAGCCAAAAGTATAACCGCATTTTTTTGCAATTACAAATTACTTCCGCAACATAGCTTTTTGTGCGCCGGCTAATTGGTATTGCTTGATATGCACTTATCACAGTAGTAGTGTATGCCACTTTTCTTTTTGATGACATTGCAAACCATGATAATCTATCCAGGACAATAATAATCCAGCCAGGACACCAGGCAGATAGGTAAGGTTAGGTTAGGTTAGGTTAGGGCATTTAGTCCTAGGTAGGTCCGTTGTGATACCGTATGAATCATTTTCCCCTTTGAGCCAGTGTCGTCTGCTTTCTTGAACTTTATTATTCTTGTTAGGCTTCAGTCAGCAAGTTCTGAGAGATTTAACATGAAGTTATTTCCTAGGTGAGTTAATCTTAATCTGCCTAGGGCCGAACAGGAACTCATCAGGGCTTCCACTGTTTCCTCTTCCTCCTCGTCCCTGCAGCTTCTGCAGAATTCATTTTGGGGTGCGCACAGTCTGCTGGCATATGAACCCACTAACCAGTGTCCTGTAAGTACCCGTATTATCATTCCGCACTCGGTAAGATTGAGTCTTGGTAATTTCAACGTTCTTTTCAAGTCTATAATGGTCCATGTTTGGCGAAAAATGCGACAGTGTCTTACATTCTGTCATGCTAGAGTCGCTAGTGTTTTGTATTGTTTTTTTATTTTTAGCTTACAGTAATATAACATACATATTATGTTGATGTTATACTGTGGGGCCAGCTCTTTTAAAATTGTGTTGGTCGCATAGATAGACCTAATAGCCGCTTGGCTATCGCTGTAGATGTTAATCTATCATCTTTGACAGATGGTGTTATGTACATGCACAAGTGATTCTATTATGGCATATAATTCGGCACGACCATATGTATGGAATGTTCAGTGACTTTTAATCGAACCGCCACTATTTTGGCCCGTTTTATGCTGACTAAGTCAATACTAGGAAGGGTCAACACAGCGTTCAGCGCGTCGTTTGGGTACTGCGAAGGGCACCATTTATGCATAGGGATGTCATCCGTTGTGGCTGTCTGCCACAGACAATTTAAACAAGATACTTCGTAGAGTAGTTGACGATTTTTGGGTGCATGCCCCATTTCGTCCCTATGGCTTTCTTACAGGTGTAAAAAGCAATTGTTGTTTTCCTCGATCTCTCTTCGTTTTTCAGAATGGCAGATTTCTTTTTTACAATTTTCCACAGAACATATATTTACGCTTATCTTAAACTCAAGAACTTTGAGAGAGAGCGGAGGAGAGTGTCAAAGCGGGAGCCTAACACCAAATAAATCCGATGTTAAGCACCTAGAAACGGTATGGATAGAGAGAACGGGAAAGCCGAATATCTCCGATGTAACCCTACAAGATGAGAGAGACCAAGAGAGTAAAGATCAAGAGCATAACAACGTTAAGATTTTGAGGTTCCAAACAACTCCTCAACGATGATCAACTCCTCAGAGAGAATTTCATAGAGGTAGAAAATTGTAACACCGTTAGAGCGCTTGCCGTTCCAACATTGTCCAACGATTGAAATTAACAGAAAAAAAAACTTAAAAGGGCGTCAACAGAATTACAATAAAAGCAAACCAAGCACCAAATCAAATGTTCAAAATGATTTAATTTATTTAACACAAACTTATCACAATGCACACGCGAAGCGAGCGGAAGGTTGTTAATACCAACTCAAAGCGTTCTGTTATTTAAAAAGTTTGAATGTAACCTCGGTGACAAAAAACGAAAACTTCGGAACGCAAAACAAAAACTTGACCGTTCACTTTGAAGAGTGAATGCGTTTTTAAATCAATTGCGAGCGGCTTGTGGGTACTAGTCCTGAAAAGGCAGGGGTACGCATTCCTCAAAGAACCTTGATCTCATTAAATGATAGAGACATAAAGGACTTGCTGCGAAAGGAATAACGTGTAAGTTGAACAAATCGCATAAGCTAGCCGATAATGTGTGAAATCTTGACCAACGATGAAACTATGCGATGAGTTCAAGTAGTGGACAACACTTTGACCAAGGATTGTATTTAAAAATGTAGGTTTAAGGCTTACGTTTTCTTCGCAAGCACAACCATTCTCCATTCCGTCCCTTTAAAAACGTTTTACTTCGTCGCACAGAACTAAGTGGCTTAAATACAAAAAAAAAAGAGTTCTCACATATATATATATATACATAAATGTAATTTTTTTCATGTCTTTACAGGAAATGCAAAAACGATTAAAAACGATAACAGTTCAAGATTTGGTAAATTTATGCAAGTTTGTTTTGATGACCACAATTGTATAAAAGGATGCATTATTCAAGATTATCTGCTTGAACAATCTCGGATAACATATCAAAGTGAAGGGGAACAAAACTATCATATAATGTATCAACTAGTGGCACAAGGGCAGAAAAATATCGATATCGCAAAAACCTTTTATTTAAAACCACCTGAATATTACAAATATCTGAATATTAAGAGTACTGAACAAATAAATATGCAATTAGAATCAATGAAGTTCGACGCCGTTACTATGGCGTTTACGGTTTTACAAATTCCCCAATTTGTAATAGATGGCGTTTTTAAGGTCCTAAGCTCAATATTGTGGTTAGGTAATATTGACTTTATGGACATTGATGGCGAAGGTTGCGATTTTTCTAATTCAGACAAGGAAGCCATTTCGAACATTTCAAACCTTCTGGGAATGAAGCGCTGTGATCTTCAAAAGGTTCTTCTAATTCGCCAATTGAATGTTCGAGGAAATATTACTGAAATCCCTTTAAAAATAAAAGAGGTAAGTATCAAAATAAATTAGCTGGTATATAAATCTTTTTGGTTTCTGTTTGGCTTTATCGACCTGCATGCATACATAGACAATATATAAATATATCAGGTTTCTATGCTTGTCAAGCTTGAGGACACGATTAGAACCTAGGTTTTTTAATCTAATTTGTTTTCTGTTCTAATGTAATTCGTTTTCTTAGGGATTACCAAAACATTTTTATTTTGATCTAGCGAACATATGAACGTTTTAGTTTTTTTATTGGATAAACCAAAGGTTTTCTTTCATTGTACGCATATCATTTTGGCTTGGAAGGAATTAACGTGTTTTATGAAAGTTTTTAAAACAATGCCCAAAAATGGTATGCCCAGGTAAGCGTGGACATTAGGCAGCCTTGATTATCCGTGTTTGGCCGTAATGAAGAGTACGCTGCCAAGACGAAGAACCCAACCTATCTTCTCCGCTTTCTGAGTAGCACGCCACCATTCAAAAATGAGCAACAGGTACTGTGGTCGTCAATATGCCTCGTCCAAGCTAGAGACCGGTAGGTGTAGAGCCTGTTTAGCGGAAAGGTCGCATTCTCTGACTTTGCAGAGTAAACAGCAATATTCAAATGAAAAGCCTATGCCTTTTTCGGGGAGCTCTTGTCGTCAGAAATGCAGTGACAGGTAATGACTACCGAGAACAGGGCTTGTGGGGCTCCAGAGAGTACAATTTTCAACCTTTAACATCAGCCAGGAAGCTTCAGCCGACTTCTTCTTCTTTTTCTTGAGTGAAGAAGAATTAAATCAAATGAATTTTGGTTAAAAAAAATAAGCCCTCATAAATCAGTGCACATAGACAAATTTAAAATTTTGATATAACCAACATCTTTCTCACTCGGAGAGAATCTGTGCGGCGGCATCTTCAAAATCAAAGGGAGTATACAAGTTGAAAGATCACTTCCACCTTAGCCGATAAATCAGTGGTTACAAACTTAACTAACTCAAAACTTAAAGATACAATCCATACCATGACAAAAAAAAGGATATTGGGACAATCTTGGCGGTCGTCCAGCAAACTGGAAACGTGGTATGTAGTAAAGTAGTGTTAAATGTACGAGTAATGTACGATAAGTCCTAAGAATATAATCTAATACATAAATTTAAATGAAGTGTCACAAATGATTTTACCTTCACAAGCTCCAATTTTCTTGCTTTGAACTGTAAGAAACTATTGTGTTAGTGTGCGGACTCTTCCCAAATGCATAGTTATCAAAGTGAAACGTCCGAGTTTTTTCGATCTCTAATATCACTGATTTTAATGTTCAAGTTTAATATTACAATGAGCTAAATGTCCATGTGTGAACTGTATGTAAAAGAGCGAATTCAAAATACAAAAATATGATTACAGTGAGGGGTAATTAGGTAGTACAAGTTGTCAAAGAATTAAAATTAACCAACTGTTTTTAAACAAACTTATTCATAAACAAATAATGATAATTGTAAATTGGTGTTCAGTTATGATGTCATCGAACATTCTCCGCCCGTTGAATGATCCAAGGAGTATTCAAGCACCAATTTGCTCAGGCAGGGGCGCTATCTTGCAGATGGGTCTACGAATGGTTCTATTTTTCCCCTTGATCTTGGCCATTCTAACTCGTCCATCAGCTTCAAAATGCGTGTTGGTGATGCGACCCAGGATCCACTCCTGTGGAGGTGTATTGTCCTCGTGAGTTATTACAATTTGACCAATTTGAATGTTTGCATTGGGTTTGAGCCGTTTGGAGCGCGCCTGAAGTGTGTGTAAATAATCACGTCTCCATAGCTCCCAGAACTGTTGCTTCAAGTACTTTACGCGCTGCCACCGCGTAAGATAGGATGGCAGCGCGTCAATTGAAGGCTCCGGTGCGGACATCAAAGCGGACCCAATCAGCAGGTGCGCTGGGCTTATTGCCTCTCCATCGTTTGGACCTTCGGATAGGAGTGCCACTGGTCTTGAGTTTAAGCCCAGTGTTGCCCAAGTTTTTTATCATCAAGGTCTTCATGGACTTTACTGCGGCCTCTCACAAGCCTTCAAAGTGGGGAGCTCGCGGAGGGATGAACTTAAACTCAAATCCCACGATGCTGCTGAAGTTATGTATATTCAATCTGTTGGCTTCGTCAAACAGCTGCTGCTTAAAGTCCTCGAGCTGAGATCGTGCCCCGACGAAATTAGTTGCATTGTAGGAATAGATGCGTAGTGGGACGCCTCTGCGACTGACGAAACGCTTTAAGCAAAGAATAAAATTATTAGTAGACAGATCGGAAATGAGTTCTACGTGGATTGCTTTTGACGAAAAGCATATAAACACGGCCATGTATGTTTTATATGGCACTTTGCTTCGAATGCGGTATGATGTGGCAAATGGTCCACATAGGTCGACTCCAGTTAAAAAAAAAGGTCGTTGTGAATAAAAGCGATCACCTGGAAGTGATCCCATTATTTGTTACATTGAACGCCAACAAATTTCAATGTTAAGCAATGATCCTTTGGAGGAAGAACAGGAAATTTGACATTGAGTGAAATGGACGCCTTGGCTAAGCGGCCTCCTACACGTAATAGTGTTATAGAATGGTTTGATCCTTCAGTCGCTGCTAGGAACGGATTTAGTTTTTTAAATTCGGGTTTTAAAATCTTGTTTTCCTTGAGCTGCTGGATTTCGTTGAAAAGGTCTTCTGCTGGGTATGTGATACGATGTGCTTGAACGAGTATTGCAATTCAGTTGCTGATGTATGAATTACATCGACTGCTTTCAATTTTCTGTTGACCTTGATTCGATTGAAGACGCGCAACACAAAAGCTATGACTCGCAAAATGCGCCGATAGGATGATAACTTGTTGATAATGCAATCGTATACATCTTCTTTGCTGCCACATGTACATGTGAGGACTGTTGATTTCCGCAGCTCCAACTCTTCTTCGGTGTCCTGAGAATTTTGCACTTGGTGAGGCCATCCAGATAAGGGTTGACGTAAGAAGCTTGGTCCACTAAAACATATAGTTTCCATAAGCTCAGATGCTGCACAGCCTCTTGACACTATGTCCGCGGGATTGTCCTTGCCCGGAACGTGCCTCCAAGTAATGTTTGAAGTGGTTGATTGCATCTCAGAAATCCAATTGGCGACGAAACAGTTTCGCCTGGACGAGTGCATGGTAAGCCACTGTGGAACAATTCTTGAATCTGTCCAAAAGAAAACGTTATTAATGTAATTTTCGAATTTTATTTTGTAGGTTGTGTATACCTAAAACAGAACACATCTGCTACCACGACATGCCCAATGTCTTCGTTACATCTTTGATATCAACCTTGAATTGAAACTCTGCTCCATTGCCTTCCATTTTGCTTGTGTTCCATTTAGCAAGCTCTAATCCAGCCTTAAAAAGTATGCTGGTGACCACTGCAGCCTTAAGATGAAGCTCTTCGACACTGCCTGCTCCAGTAAGGAGGTCATCGACGTACATCCCTTCTTAAGTACGGCTGCTCCGATGGGAAACTGCTTTGAGAAGTGATCCGCAATATATTTCAAGCTCCTGATTGCTAGATATGGTGCGCAGGACATGCCGTACGTGACAGTGTTGAGCTGAAACAATTCCAGAGGCGCAGCAGAGGATTCTCTCCAGAAAACAAGTTGATACATAAGATCGTCTGGTGATACTTCAAACTGGCGACACATCTTGCAGATATCAGCTACAAGTGCATGACGATGTAAGCGAAAGGCTAGAAGTGTTAAGATAAGATTTTGCTGGATGCTTGGCCCAATCATCAACAACTCATTCAAAGAAAAGTTCGACGTTGTTTTTCATGATGCATCAAGCATCAAACATGTAGTCGTGCTTTCTTATCTTAGGACTCCATGATGCGGGATAACATACTGTGTCTTCTGAGAGTCGAAATCAGATGCCAATTGCATGTGACTCAGAGCTATGTATTCCTTTATGAATTTCACGTACATCTCTCTTAACAACGGGTTGCGGTTCAACCTGCGTTCATTTTGCAGAGACCGGGATTCGGCTATTTCAAACGACTTTCTTAGCTTGTGAGGGTTCTCTTTAAAGGGCAAGCAAACTTGGACCCGTCCAGATGTTAGAAACCTTGTGTTTGCCATATAATGCCGTTCGCATTTCTCCTCTTCTACGGTGAAAAAATTATGCGAATCAAACTCCTCTATTAGCAAAAACCTTTCTAATGCATTTTGCAGCTCCGTGGAACGTGCCATGTTGCATGTGACGATTTGTGATTGCGGAATTTCAGAAACCTTTCCGCCAACGATCTAAGCAAGTGCAGTATTGACCAGGCAAGAAAGGCCATGACCCAGAGAAATTTTGCCATTTTAAGTAAATCAAAAAACTCTTGTGTGCTGATGAGTAAATCAATCTTGTGAGGCATGTAGTTCCTGGATCTGCAAGATCAATCTCTGTAGGTATGTACCACTTTGAAGTGTCATCGAAACGCTCTGGCTGATTAAGCGATATTGTCTTCGCTACAGCGAATTGTAAACGCCATTAATTTACTGATAGTCGTGATCGAATAGTTGTTGAGACAGAAAATCTCATTTGCGTTCTGACACAACCTATGCCAGAAATGTCATACTTCTGTTTTTCGAATCTGAGCTGAAGGAGCTTGGCCAACTCTTCAGTGTGTGGGCAACAATCTGTGTTGGTTGCTCTTGATGAGCAGTTCTATGAAGAATAATGTGATGTAAACTTTGACAAACGCGACATCGCGATCAACTTAGACATCTGCTCGCCAAATAACAATTTATGCACAGAGCGGTTTGCTTGATGAAATTAAATTTATCCTGCCAGTCTAGTGAACTAAATGAAGCACACTGAGTAAGAGCGTGATCAGTAGCAGAGAATTTTTTACAACCACCTGTGCCGCGACAAAGGCTCTCCTATTCTATGTGGGCTTTTTTTTGGCTTCTCATCAGATGATCGTTTAACGTTGCTCTCCAAATATTGACAGTGACGGCTTAAACTGCGGTAACAAT